TCCCACGCTTCTTTTTTCTGTGAAAGTAATACTATTCTTCTTGAGTAGGACTCGGCTCTAGGGTTATTTGACCTTAACGGCTCGTCGAATAGTGTTGCTTTTGATTTCTCCAGAAAATAGTAATATACCAAGACCTTTTTTCTCCGTTAGTTATATCGTGGGTTGTTATAAAGAGGAATTAAGTAAGAAATGGACGCATCTAGCAGTAAACGAAACGGACCGACCCCCTCAAAGGCGTATAAACAAAACCAGCGCAAGAAGCTAGCGCGATACGCCAAAAAAGCGGAGCTTGGAAAGTGTACTAACGCGACGATAAATGAAAAAACTGTCTCTATCTACGATACTAGCAACGATAATCGAGACGAGCGGGACAACAAAAGAGCAAAGATTTTCTACAATCCGGATAAAGTGAGTATTTAGTGGTTATAGGTATTTTTAGCGGGTATGGTTCGATATATTTTTATGGTACGATGAGGTGAGATCGCCAAATTACTATCGTCGGCGTAGTGAGGAGAGAAAGATTACACAGGCTTACCGTGGTTTAGACCGCTGAGCTACGAGACGAGAAATAATTTGTATGTTTATCTGCCTCATATTTTTAGAGATAATTTATATCCCCTATTATTATTTTAAAGCATAAAACTCAGCTGGAGACTCGCCAGTTAACGGAAAATGAAACTCGTCAATATATTATATCCCAATGGATTTCCGAAGATTTTCTTGCTAGCGATCTTAAACCGAGTAAAGTTTTACAACCTGCTACCTTTTTGGATCCCCAGTTTACCTTTCTCGAAAAGTTTCTTGAGAAGAGACGGCAGAGACAAGTTGTTCGATGGTTGCTCAACCAGTGTTTACTTCCATCCAATGCTATAAAAACCAGTACTTATATACTCGACTTTGCTGTACTATCTAACCACCATCTCGAAATAGTTTCGAACGCAATTCAGGAGAATTTATACAGAAATGATACTAGAAAGAAGTCTTTATCACCCCAAACCGTCCAAGTGATTCCAACTTCTTCTGCGATACCCCAAGAGTTTATGCGTTTACTCGAATCAGAGATCTTTATTCTAGCGGATCAAGTGGAGCATAACCATTCCAAGGAATCTTCAGAAAAAAAACAGTTGTGGAAAGAATTCGCCTTATGGGCATGTTTTTTCGCTGGACCTAATTTTAATCAACACTTTCGTCACCATTGTCGTCGTCTCTGGTCTCAAGTGAAATGTATTTATCACCATGTGGGGGCCCAAGAGAAGCCGTTAGAAGGACGTAATATCCACGAGACATTTCTGCGCCACCCGAGTGATAAACTTTACATTGCTAAAGAAACAACAGAAATCATTGCAAGTGGTATCAATCTTCAGGGGTATCAGCACGTTTTTAATCCGCAATGTTTTGCGAACAGTTTTGGGGAAGTGTGGTGGATTTTTTTGATATTGGTAGAATATCTGCAAGGGAATCAGAAGCGGTTGTAGACAGATACTGTAAACATATGTTCGATGATCCCACACACCAGTCCAAGCAATTTAAATCTGATTTGATAGAACATTTTGGATGTTTTACCGACAGCAACAATATGCCATACACCACAACAAACACCGCCTCTTCTCATCACAAAGCACATCAAAAATGTGTTCAAGATTTGATAAAAGGGCTTCAACCGATTTCTGGGTCAGTTAATAAGTATCTCGAAACCACTTATCCAGTTTTATATTCTAAGATGAAGAAACTTGATCTTGGGCCGAATGTTCCGAACTCTTTTGGTGTTTTTCCGACGGTTGCTGTTAATTATAATATTATTTGCCAATTCCATCGGGATATGAAGGATCATCGAAACTCCCTCTGTGTGGTTTGCCCGCTTGGGAAATTCAAAGGAGGAGAATTGGTATTTCCCGAGTTGAAGTTGGTTGTCCACGTTAAACAAGGGCAAGCGGTGGCCTTTAGATCGAACCTTTTGATTCATGGGAATCTCCCAATTGTCGCTGGAACTCGGCATAGCGTCGTTTTTTATATCCACAATACGGTGATTAAACAAAAACGAAAGTTTGGCTCTCTTTTTGCTGATTATGAGTTGGACTGGGATAATAGCGATGGGAACTCGTCACTACCAAAATATCTTCCTCCGACGCTAGGTTCTGGAGATAATGTAACGAAACCAAAAAATCATAG